GGGTTGCGATCCGTTGCCGGACACGGAAAAAGACAAAAAGACAAAAAAAAAAAAAAGAATAAATCATCCTTTCTTGATGGTAATGATATTCAAGTACAACAATTTTAAACTAAGTACTATTATTTGGCCAAAAAAACTGAGGGACAAAGTTACCTAGCCTGTGTTACAAAGCACATCATGTTAAATCCAGGCCTTGCCACTTCTTTTCAATTCTATGCTTTAACTGTTAAATATATTTTAAAATTTTTTAAAGAAAAATCTCTCTCTGTTTCATGCTAGTCTCCATGAACAACTCAACCTCTCCCGTCAATAAGCTTAACACTTACCTCAAAGGCCCTCTGTATTTTTACAAAGTCTCCCACGCTGAGTCGGTTTTCAAGCCAGCCTGTGCCATAGTCTTCATCAGCAGTTACACCTTCTGTTCTCTCAGGGCTCTTTGGCCCAGGCTGTGACCCCATGTTTAACTCAAGCGCAGCCTTCTGGTAACTCATAATGGCTCATCTCTTTCCAGCAGCCTTCGACTATGTCTATATGTTTTATTTTCCCCCCTTCAACAGGTGCCTTTAAAAAGAAACCCAACTTAGTAATAGAATTCCATAAAGAAAGTACAAACCTGTCAAGGCATACAATTAAGAGGCAAAAGGTTCAAGCTGAGGCAGGAAATGAAAGCCCTGAACCCCCTCANGTTTTCAAGCCAGCCTGTGCCATAGTCTTCATCAGCAGTTACACCTTCTGTTCTCTCAGGGCTCTTTGGCCCAGGCTGTGACCCCATGTTTAACTCAAGCGCAGCCTTCTGGTAACTCATAATGGCTCATCTCTTTCCAGCAGCCTTCGACTATGTCTATATGTTTTATTTTCCCCCCTTCAACAGGTGCCTTTAAAAAGAAACCCAACTTAGTAATAGAATTCCATAAAGAAAGTACAAACCTGTCAAGGCATACAATTAAGAGGCAAAAGGTTCAAGCTGAGGCAGGAAATGAAAGCCCTGAACCCCCTCATTTATTTGGTTCCACAGTTTATTTTCAAAATCCACAGTTAAACGGATTTAAAACACGCCTTCTTTATACGGTTTGCCCTGGCTTGATTAAAAATGTGTAAAGCTTCCCCCATGTTTATAGCAACTGACACAGGAAGCAAATTCTCATCCTCATTTTAAATGCATTAGAAAAGCAACTTCTCAAAATCTCTTTGGCTGACCTTTCTTCCATGAACACGTTGTGGTTTTCAACTCCATTTTCTCATCTGGAGGCGTTAGACGACGCAGCTACAAAGTTTTCCTCTAGGTGAAGTGCTTGCTTCTGAAGGCCACCTTCCCAGCAATGTGGACTTGTTTGTTTCATCTGTTCCTGATGCCTTTGTATGTTTCCTAGCAACCAACATCAAGCCTACCAAAACTTTTCCTTTCCCTCTCTCTCCCTCCCCAACTAATGACTGAACTGAAGGTTTGAATATATAATGTATGTTTTTTTAAAGGACAGTTCAGCCCACTCATTTTTAATTAAACTGCATACTATATTATTTAGGACAACTTTTACAAATATATTTACTATGAAGTATTATAAAACAATATGATTAGCCAAAGAAACGAGCATTGCATTCTGGAATTTTATATTTTCCATGCAGAAAATGATTTACTCTTATTTACTAAGAATCCATTCCTTATATTCTCTCTGTCTTAGTTTCCATGTGTATGAAATAGGAATGATGCAAAAAAGCTTTCAACTCATTGACAATATGGGGGGAAAACACAGCATAACGTCACATGGTACACCTAAGGCTAAAACTACTTAGAGTGTCATCACTGGTTCCGCTAATAATAAGAACGAAGGAAAAAGGAGAAAGATCAACATTTTTTTTTTTAATATTTACCACGTGCCAGGCACTATACTAAACACTTAACATTCCTTATCTTTTTTCAGCTTCACTACAACCTAACAAGGCAGATATGATCATTATCCCTATTTTACAAATAAAGAAGCAAAGAAAACGCCAAGGGTCACATGGTTAGTAAGATATGGAATATGGCAGATTGGGTCCTGAGCTTTGGAGCCTGCACTACAGAGAGATGACCTCTTTGCATCTTGCTTTCTTCTCCATAAACTGAAAAGTTGGCACTAGATGTTCTCTAGGGTCTCTTCCAGCTCTGACACTCTGTGAGCTGATGTTCACTAGGTAAATGGTGATTCTCAGTATATTCCCTACAGCACAGAGAAGAGAACATCCCAAGGGCGCTCCTACACCAGTTTTAGAAAAAAATAAAATTTCATCATGCATCCATTATTTTATTCATCTCTCTTTCTATCACACGTTCAAAGAACCATTCATGAAGAGCCTACTGTATGTCAAGTCTTGAACCTGGTGTCTGCCCCTGGGAAGTTTCCAGTCTAGTAGGAGCAATTATCTGACTAGTTCATCTTTCATACCAATTCAAACCTCTTGCTGTTTATAGTGCTGCGCTGAGAAAGATTCTGCAGTCACAGATAGGCTCAGAGAAAAGGGCTGGCATTATAGATTGTGTATCACAGGCACAGAAGGGAACAGGGGGGCATATTGACTACAAATTTGCTTTTTCTGGCTTAGCCCTTCATGTAAATTAGAAAAACGCTTCTAAACCCTAATATAAATTCCCATAAGTTATCTCACATGGGAACAAAATTTGTCTTACCATTCTAGTTAGGAAGTTGGTAACAGTTGAGATCAGCCGGATCAGCCCTATAAATGTTTGTAAAATGTTTTATAGTGATATTCCGGAGAGTCGGGCTTAGTTTAGTAACAGACACTAATGAGGGGAGGAAGAGGAAATAGAAAAAACATTCTGTGAGGCTGCACCATGAGAGGTAGGTATCCCTCTGGCTGAAAATGCAAAATTCCCTAATTATCTTAAGATGGTCAAGCTGCCTGGCCTACTTAGCTTCCATAGAGAAGCAGCTCGAAACATTTTCATTAGTCAAAAAAGGGAAGTATAATGAGCAGCTAACAAATTACAGTAGCAGGTAGACATAACTTTCTTTCTGTAAAATTACTGCATTAGAAATAATTCTTGATCATAATGTCTTAAATGGCTCTAGCCTTCTTTATAACTGTGTGGCTAATTTTCAGGTTAAGTTTCTGCAGCACTGTAAAATCCATAACTAGCCTCTGGACTGCTGAAATTTACCTTCTTGCTTGCCATGAATCAATTACAATTTTGGGAGAATCTGCCACATGCCCAGTCCAATTCTAGGCTCTGTGGGGAATGTGGCGGTGCTGAAGACAGTCTATTGCTCTCAAGGTGTTGACAGTTTAGTTGACAGAGAGCACTGATGAACAAATCGATACTTGTTCCCTTCTCCTGTAGGGACCGTAGGGACCGGCCAGCCTCGCTGGCATAGTAGAGCACTAAGCCCCCAAGAGGGCAGAGAAAGCTAACACATCCACTGACCTTTGTTTCCTTTGGAACTTTGGGTCTAAATAATTGTCCCCACTGAACAGACACTCTCATCCGTGTGTCCTTGTCACAACTCACCAGTTCACACTCAAATCCCTGCTCTTTTCCTCCCCCATAATTAATTCTCACCAGCATAAATATAGACCACCCCTTTCTTCTAATTCCTCTTCCCTTCACTTACCCTTCATTCACACTAAAGCCTATTTGTACTGACATTCTTAATCTTTTTTTTTTT